TGATGGACTTGGTGGTGTCTGGTGTGACGACGGGGGAAAACTTGGGGCTTGTCTTGGCAGCTTTCCTGGCCCTGATGGAGCACGGCATCGTCTCCTGGAACTCTCTCAACCCCAGGTTCGTGCAGAGGGTCGCCAGCTTCGTCAACAAGAGCACAGTGGCCGAGGCCATCATTGTCCAGCGGGCCCTCGCCATCCTGGAGAGCATCGTGTTGCTAAGCGACGCCTTCGGCCAGGTGGTGTCCGGCCAGGTCAGCCTACAAGTGTTGACAGAACATTTCAAGAGCCCGGCGGCCGAGATCCAGCTTAACTCTGTTACTCTAATCAACGCGCTGCTGATCAAGGCGACCCCGGCCAAGGCCAAGGAGATTCTAGACATCATCAACTCGCGTCACGTGCAGGGGCTGATCCTCCAGGGCATCATAGACAGACGGAGAACTGTGGGGGCGGAGATGGCGCACCAACTGCACGTTTTACAGGTAGGATATATAACTGCTGTAAATACAGTATTTCAATGTGGTGGTGCTATGTAGAAGGAGTTGGAGCCGACGAAGATTTTTATGCATTCAATACAATTTCATGATTTCATGGCAGCAAAACAGGATTTTCTGGTTACTAGTATTCTTTCAATGTAGTAATTTGAATAAATCCTATCCCAAAGTACTAGTATACTGTGAAACAAAAATACGATGTCGCTGACGGAAAACGGTTACTTGTTTTGTATCGTAGGCTGGTCCTACTAATTTATGGGTGGTACCCCCTCCCAAAAAACGCCTCACGAAGATTGTTTCGTGGCTGTTTCAAATATGAAATGATGTCGAAAATGTGCTAAGAAATGGCAGTTACTAGTAATGTTAATATTATAGAGATTTCCTCGTCCATAATATTTTTGTTTTGCCGCCCTGAAGTTGCCTTGAATGCCTCTAACGATTGTTAGAATGTACAGGCATTTTGTTTGAGTAGTTAAGCGTGGAACGATACATTGTTGGTTATTGCCAAATCATCCGATACTAATAGGTTCACTGATTTTCACACGGGAGCTATTTACAACTAAGGACAAACTTTGGTTATGTTTGGACGTTCACAATGTGCGGTGAGCGAAAACAAACAAACAACAACAAAAAAATGGCACTTTTTCTTCGAAACAGGTCCTGGTGGAAGAACTTCCCTCTCTATTTCCTTCTCCAAACATCTGCTGTATCTATCTATCATGCATTCTGGCACTGATAAATATTTTGACCCGCAGCCAGTCACTTTTGGCATGTTCCACTTCACAGAATGGTTCGTCTTTCCTCTGGGTCACACCCCCTCTTCATACACAATACAGCTTGTCTGGAAAGTTTAATTTCCTGTTTCATGGTTTGATCGAGACTGTACTAAATAAAGAGAGAGAGATGTTGATACATACAGCCAATTCAGAAAATACAGGAAGTCCAATAATTTTGACAGAAACAAAATAGACTCACCCGTACGTGTGTTTAGGATTGCAACTTGTACCTGATTTTGGTCGACCTAAATTTCGATTCCCAAACAGTATGAACCAGCAGTTCTTGGATTCGATTTCGATCTAAACAATAATGAAAATGGTAAAATAATCTGCTAACGGTATCTAATACTTCTCATTTTCGGTCTCGTGGTTTTCATTTTGGCAAAGGTAATGACATTTCTGCTGTAACGTGTATGGCTCTTGGGACAATGAATGTATGGTTTAATCAATATCAGCCAGGCTCTTTTGGGGTAATGGCCATGGCCATGGCGAGCACTTGATAGCAATTTAAACTGACTGGATGTAATGATTTTGCTCTTAGCTATTTCACGTGACTGTTGACTCTCTTTCTTTCTTTGTTGTTTTTTTTGTTTGTTTCTTTGCTTGTTTGTTTGTTTGTTTGTTTGTTTCTTCCTTTGTTAGTTAATTTATTTCTTTGTGTTTCTCACTCTCTCACATACTGTCGCCGGGATTTGCCGTCCATTCCCCCCCTCTCTCTCTCACCCTCACCCTCACTCTCTCTCACTGTCAATCTGTC